ATTTAATATTTTATAAAGAAATTAACAATTTTTTTAATTTCACAGGCAAATTTGCCTGCTAGACAATCTAAGGGATAGTTATGATATCAATTATAATCATAATTGATACTGGTTAATTAAAGACTTTTAACTGACTAGTTAACTAACCAATTTTAATTGACCAGTTAATCAATATTATTATAAGAACTTTTTGTATTAAATTATAAAATTTATAAAGTTTGTAAATAAATATAATATGAATATATTGAATATTTCTTTATTTTATAAATGTTTTTTAATTTATAGCTTCTTTTATTTTAATAAAAATTAAAAAATTAATATAGTTTTTTGCTGATTTTTAGTTTTTAAACTTTCTTTGAGCAGTTAATTAATTATTTAAAAATCAATTTCAATTTCAATTTTATTTTTAAAATGAATTCGAATTCTTAAGCTAATAAATATTTATCTATTATTAATATATATATTTGTAATTTATCAATTTATTTATTATTTTTTACTCTATTTAATTGTTAAATTATTCTTTATTTATATTAATATTTCCAAATTAATTAAGTATTTTTACATATAATTAAGATATCTTTAAATATAGTTAAGGATTTTCTATAAATAGTTAAATTTTTATAACCAGAATAAAAAATAAGAAAAATATTATTAATTCTTATTAAGTAATTTAAGTAATTTAAAAAATATAAAAAAAAAAACTAAAAAAAATTATTTTTTAGATTATTAATAATATTATCATGATAGCTTATTCATGATTTATGTTTAATTTTATAATCTTATCTCTTAATTAAAAAGTTACAATAATAATAATCTAATTATCAAAAGTAATAATATTCAGATTTTTAACAAAAATATCTTTTTATTTCTTCAAATTAGAAGGAATTTTACTTATATTTTAAAGTTAATTTTAGATATGTTAAAAATTAGTTATCAAACCAATAATATTTTTATAATAAAATTTATAATATTTTTAAGTAAAATCAAAAAAAAATAATATTAATTAGTAACTTTTTATATTAATTTAAGATCAAAGTTTTGAAAATTTTTTAATAAAAATATTTTCTTTATAAAAGCTTTATTTAAAAATAATAAATTTATAATGTATTTTATAATAAATGATATTCAATGTATAAATATTGAGCGCACCATATGGAAAAGTATAAGCGCAATTATAATAGAGCTGCGCTTACCGCACTACCCCAATTTATATCATTGCTTATACTTAAACAGTCTTTTTTAAATCCTTTATATTCTTTAGCTTAAGATATAAAAATGGATAATTTATCAATCTTTAATTCTTAATATAAATAGTAAAAATATGAAATTAATACTAATACAGTCAAACCTCTATATAACGATATGTCGGGACATATAGAAATTTTTTTTAAAAATATCGTTATATCAAATTATACCGATATTTATATGACCTCAAGTATAGTGGGTAAATAAAATTTTGTCGGTATATAAAGTTTTTAATAATATATCGGTATATAGAGGTCCGACTGTACTCTAAATTAATATTTATAAATGCTTTCTAATTTTACTCAAATATAAAAGTGATATTTTCAAAGTGACATCTTACTGATATAATTTAATATTCAATTTAACTGTTAGCATTTCATATTAATCATATTAATCTTCTTCTAATTTAGTAAAATCTCATACTTTTTTGTTCCTTAATCAGTTTAATTAAGATAAATCATTAAAGAAGTATTAATAACTATTTTTAAGCTATTAATGATTTTTTTACGTCATTGTGGTAGATGAATATAATCAAAGAGAATGGCAAGACGATTATATTCTCTTTTTTTATGCGCTTATGACACGTGCTATTATATTACACCGCAAAAAACAATTTTTGATAGAGGTTATTTGTATTGCAAATAAGTTTGTTTATCAAACGTGTTACAACCTGGAATTCTCGTCATATGTTGTGATCACATCATAATTATTTTTAGACGTGGCTAATGTTAAAAAAAGTATTCCGTTAAGATTTAATTCCCCCAGAACTTTAAAAAAAAGATGAGGAAAAAAAATTAAAATAAAATAAACTTAAAAAACTCTTCTAGTTCATTTACGGTATTCTGATTAATTTTATATTAGAACAAAATATTTTGGTGGGGGTTTGTTATTTTATGTGATTTTAATTTTAATTACTTGTACGGGAATTAATAAAATTAAAAACATAGGAATACGATAATTTAATTTTTTAAAGTTATTTCTTTTACATATTTGGCTAACAATTAATTATAATAATTCAAGAGAGTTTATTCTTTATTTTATTTTATAATAGTTGCTTTGAATAAAAAATACTTGAATTCTCATTTGTTCAAAATCATTAAATTCAGCTGGCTTCATTACCATATAATTTGAATCGAAAGAACACTAAAAAGTATAATCATATGGTTTGTCCCAACCGGATCCATTTTATAAAAAAGAAAAAAAGAAATTCCATGTTGATAATAATAGTACGTAACAAAGCCTTAAAATCCGTAATGGGTAAACAAGTGATGCAATTAAATTTCTACTCATTACCCAATCATACCGTTTTTATACTCATTGAACATTGTTCCCATCAAAAAAATTATTTTGACTTTAACAATAGATCGATATTAATTACCTTTTCTCGTGCATTTTAATGTAGATGTTCTTTCCTGTTATAGAATTGAAAATAATAAAAAAACTGTAATTTTTTTTTGTTTAATAGAATGTAACGCGACATATGTACAAATTTTTTTGTATAAAAATATAAAAAGAAATTCTCGACGCATATAGGATATACAGGATTTTAAAGTTATGTATAACATAAACCAAAAAAAATATATATATTTATACCTAATCATTTGTCACCAAAAAAAATAAAAAATTTATTTTCTTGCATTTTGTCGAAACCTATTCAACCTCCTTGCTTCCCATCATCATATCATATTAATTCCATAAAACATCTCTTTTTTCCTTTCCTCTCTTTCACAATTCCTTTACATGTTGATTTACTTTGTGTCATATTGTTAGAATTATTACTCCAACGTCAAACGACCAAATTTACGACATTCAGTTATTATATAAATTTGACACATTATCTTTATTTACACATTCGTTATTAATTAAAAATGCCCGCCTCTTTCAATGCTTTCCTCGTAGCTGCCCTTTTGGCATTCCAGGTAAATCAAATTCTATTTTTTTTTCTCTTTCCTCCTTCCTTTTTGTAAAAAACATTTAATGACCGATTATGATATTTAAATTCAGGTCGTTGGAATTTATGGTGAAATCTACACCGGGGTTGCAGAAATTCCTCCATTCAACGGATCTTGGCACCTATGCAGTAGTATCAACACCGACTATATCAGTAAGTGCAACTTAACAGCATTTAGCATCACAATGTCATTCAAAAACTACATCGAAATAATTTTTTCGTTATCAAAATTTCAATTGACTAGGTTTTTCGATGAGAGTTTTAGAAGATCAAACAACTCCATTAACGCAAGAATTTCCCGGTAAAACCCTTGAAGGTAGACCGCCAAAACCATTACCGAAATACAAACCTGCATTATTAGCATTTCAACTTAATTATGAAAATGTGGTAAAATATTCAGATACTGTCAAAGAAGTTTCTAAATTTGCATATATCCCATCATTGTCATGTTATGAAAAGCCCATACAACAATGTGATCAAGACGTAGGTGACATACCTTTGCAATTTAAAGAAAGTCAATGTCTTTTATTGCAAAATCCATCTGGTGTTCCCGTTAGATTTAATTTATCAATTTCTTTTACCGAGACCGTATTCAGTCAAGAATTTACTAGTCCTGCTAACCCTGGTGGTATCGATTTGAATAATTCGGCCACAAATAATTATAAATTTGGAATTTGCAATTTGATGATTACGATTTTCTTCTCGAGTATCTTAATTTATATTGCCATTGGAATATTCTAGATATTAGAAATGTACAGTTTTTTTTTTCTTAATATATAAATTTTTTTTTATTTGTTTCCCTTTGATAAGAAAAATTTGGCAAGAAAGACAAATTTTATATCTTTAGAGTATATATGTAATTTTTGTTCTCAGAATCTCTTTAGAATAAAAATATCGGTTTATTTTTTTTTTCGTAAAATTCAGGAGTCTGTCAAATCAGTAAAATATATTGCATTATGTCAGATTCTGATCGGGTAATTTAATTTGTAATACATGCAAATATGCCGCTATTTTCAATATGGGTTTAATAATACTGGATCATTTCTACTGATTTGCCGGTCCTCCTACTTTTGACAATTTATACGAACTATTCTCTTTTCAATATTTGTTATTCTAAAATTTTGACCCTTGTTGTCAGAAAATTGTGGACAAAGAAAAACTTCTTGGATTCTCTAAAAAAGATTTCTTGATTTCCAATTCGGTAACTTCCTGGAAAGATTTTTTAAGGGCGACGTTCATTTAATTGGTCATTGGGAGGAGGGGTTTTGAACTAATCTTAAATTAGTAATAGAATTAGAATAGTTTCTTTATATTTTATTGTATGAATTGAAAATTTTAATAAAACAGCAATACCACACATCGTTAAAAAAAAGAGAAAGAAAAAAAGAGATCATCGAAACAAGTCATTTCCGTGGGTTTCTACCCTGCGCCTTGATTTAGGAGTATTACTGGCCTTTGATTCTGGTGGTATCCACCCAGAGTTTTCACTGTTCAGATGCCCCAACTTTGTCGTTGGTAAATGGTCTGCTGATGCTAGAAGGAGGAATTGGTTATGTTCCTTTATCATTAGATGAAAAAGTTGGCAAACTTTTAACATTAAATTTTCACCGCTATAATCAGGCATTAATGGCATTAATGGAAATGATACAAGTTATTGGAGAGGTATGTGAAGCGATTTGATCATGTGATATTAGATAATTTTTTTGTAAATGGCAATTCTTATCCTTTTTGATATAAACGATTCGAAATCTAAATGTTCACCTTTTGCACTTTGAGGATTCATGGGAAAAAGGTTTAATTTTATTTATAATAGATTCTATTTTCAATTCGGTTTTTTAAATATACGTAGGTATAATGTATGATGGATATTTTTTTTTATAAAGAACGCGTTCATCAATTTGAGAACTTTATTTTATTAATTAAAAAAATTTTAACATTTGCGTCTGTTACCAAAAAGAGAAAGTTAGACATTATCCATTATATGCATTCTGCCTTCCACATGAAAGGAGATTAAAAGTAACTTTGTCGATTTATTTACCATCGCATACATTTTATACGCGATGAAAAGAAAAAAAATAAATTCTTTCAAAGGCCTTTATAAAATTTCCTTACAGCTTCATATGTCTCGCCGCTGTAATGTGTTAAATAATAAAAAGGTAGATGACGTGTCTTAGCTTTTAAGTAATAAATTAAATGACATGTACAGTATCCACGTCGTGTTAGTCAAACATTTCTTAAATGAGAAAAACACGTATGGTGTAACAAAAATAAAAAGCGGGAATTTTTTATTTATTGTGACCAAAAAAAAAAAGATTATAATCATCATCATGCTGTGCTGTATTTCATTATTTTTTTTCCTAAAAGAGATAGAAAATTATCAATGTTGCACCTGATCTCATAAATGTATCATGACGCAAAAAGTTATTCAAGGTGACTGGTATGTACCGTACCTAATACAGATGTTTTCGAAGGTTGAGGAGAGCGGAATTTTTTTTTTTTGACTAAACAATGTCGCTTATTACGATTAAACCGATTTATTTACATGATTACGCCAAAGTTTCCTCCGAACTAAATAAGCGTCACTTTACACTATATTATCATCTATGGTAGGACTTCGAAATGAGTCGTGTAAATAAATTACACATTTATGTTGAACGGTTGGTTACCTTACAAGAAATTATCAATTCAACATATAAAGGACATTTATTTATATTCGAACCAATCATAAATATACGCAACCGTTAATTATCATATGCTTCGAAAATTTTTTTTAATAAAAAAAAAATTAATTAAGTGAAATTTTCCATATTTTAAACATAAGAACGAATGATATTAACCAATAAACAAACAATATCCAATAAATTAAGGTATTCGGTATCTCTTAAAATAATGATTAGTTATCATTGAAATCGATACAATCATTTCTTTCCAAACAGGGTGCAGAAAACAAACGAGAGAAAAAGTATTAGACACTTTCTTTTCTGAAGATCCGAATCCAAGAACAGGTTTAAGAGAGCACCAATCAAAGTATTTATTCATTAACAATCAAATGAGAAATATCATAATAAATAAACACAGTAGAATTTCATCAAAATTGGCGAACAGTGTTTTATTTTTTTTTCCCAATGAAATTAGTTGTAATAATATTGAATATTGTGTTTACCTAAATAAGAAAAATTTCGATTAATAGAAAAAAAATATTGGGGAAATGCATGTTGACATGCAGGTTGCTTTAATCTTAGCACGTTGATCAAGCTTATTTTGTTCACTTAGATCAAGCCACACTAACAAAAAATATTCATGGGAGGGTTACATTGATTGCATCGATTACATCATGTTTCGAATATGTAATTTAGCCCAAGGACAATCATGTGGCATCATTTCTTTTTTTTTTTTGTTTTCTTCTTTTAATAAAAAATCTCCATTTTAAAATTTATGTAAAATGTCATCATATAAAATATATGAACATATAAAATTCTGTATAACCTCGTCTAATTCTCCATGTTGTCTTTCCGAAAAAGTTCGTCAAAAATCTAGATTGATAACTTATATTTATGGTATTTACAAACAATATCTATTATTTATGATAATTAATCATGTCGAAGGGTTAATCATTATTAATTTACTTAGACGTTTTGAATGTTGCCTTAGGGATTAGGTAAGCATATATACAATATACTAATTTGTTTTCTTTTACCATGAAAAAAGTTATATTATCCAATGAAGATTTTAAATATATAATTGGCCGAAATAGGTTATCTAAAAAGTTGTGCGTCAACTATTACTAACTACGGATTTTATAAAGAACCGCGCATTTAGTTGATGTAACTTTTCTAACTTATGAAGAAACTACCAAGCTCATAGCATCTCTTCGTCAAGTAAATAACTAAAAAAAAACTCCTTATATTTATTAAACTTCAAATAAATCATTTTTTTTTTTCACAATCTGATACAGGAAATCCCTCATATATGCGGCATACAATTCTCAGATACTCATATATTCATATGTAATATAGATTTATTATCAGCAAAGCTCAAGCTTGATCTTCATAATGAATTCAAGGATATCGCATTCATAGACGTATCCAAAAAAAATGTCGAGCCCACGCAGGTACATTTTTTCCTTCCATTACCAATACGTTGTTGCATTTATCACGTAAATATTTATATAAAGCAATGGCTTTTACCAGGTCAATGTTCCCAATTCGTTGATGCATTTCTTGAGAACACAAATTCATCCATTTATTTTTCAAGAAAATCCGGATTCAATTTTATTCGTTTCTCAAACTCCTCAATGTATGATTTCTTTCACTGGGTGGATTTTAGAGTATCAAGTTATATACGTTCTAGATAGTACTTCATCGGATGAAGAAAGTTCATTTGGTTCGCAAAATATCATGATGAATTGCCTTGGAAATCAAGAATTAATATTGTATCGAATCTTCCTAAAGAAAACAATTGATAACATGAAATCTGCCGAGGAAATCCAAAGGTAAATACATGTATATTCATTAAGTCCGAAACGAGGAACGTGCGATTTTAATTTACTCAATTATTTATTTTTATTTAATAATTTTAGACATATGTTATTAAGTTTTAGTTGCCCTGCTAGAATTATAAGTTCTTTTAATAACAACCCCAACAAAGATACCATTTCCGTCAGATTAAACAATATTTTTAGTACCAGGGTCGAACAGAATAAGTCATTTTGGAATAAAGGGTTGGAATTAGAGGTTAGCGATGTTTGTTTACCAGTTGTAGTTTTGTAATTCTCTTCCTTTCATTATGGTGGCGAAATTAAATTGAAAATTTAATAAATTTATTAAATATACTAAAAGCTTAATATATATATAAATTCAAATAAAAGAAGATTTTTGAGCAACTTAATTTTTCAACATCCTCAAAGGGGTTTTTTTTTAGTGTTTTCTTTTTTTGAAAATAAGTAAATACTGTCATAACTTGGGTAATAATGATGTGATAAATAAAAGCTTTCATTAATATTTTTTTAGGAAACAAAACTAATTTAAGAATTTCTTTTTAGAAATTCTTGTTTAACGTGATCAAATATTAAATAATCATCGGTTAAAAAGATTAAAATAGAAATTTGCAAATGAAAAACCTTTTACAGAAATTCATTTGTAAAAATTGCATGTTGCATCGAAAGATTTTATAGATCATTAAGTAATTGAGATTTTTTTTTTTTTTTTTCAAGATATAAAAAGAAAGGTCGTTTCTCCGCTAATTAAATTATTCTCGAAACCGAAACGATTAACGAGATTTTTTTTAAATTAGGTTAAATATTTTTTAATTACATAAAAATTCACATAATAAAAATGAAACCAATAAAATCCATTATCTTTACCGTTACGCTACTTTTGGGATCCTTGGTATATATAAATATAAATATAATTGACATTATTATAATGAAATTCTTAATATAATAAAATACCATTTTATATATCACAGATTATCTCAGTCTCTTCAGAACCGCTGAATTTAGACCTTAAAGTTAACAAAGATTACAAAATTGCACGTGTTCCTCCAAACAACGGAACTTGGAAAACATGCGGTCGGTTACAAACAATGAAAGTTAGTATGTATCATCGTTTTTACAATTTCTTCCAAGTCATTCAACATTTTTTTTTTTTTTTTTGGTATTTTGACGTTAAAAAAAAATTTTTTTTTTTTTTTTTTTTTTTAGGTTATAGTCTTGTGGTAGTGCCACCTCTAACGCCAGTTACAGTTGATTATGGAGTAAGTGTTGTAGGTGATGCACCAGGAGGTGGTGATGGAAGTGGAGTATACGCTTATTTAGTAGATTTTGAAAATTCTAAAAAGATGCCCTTGATTACCCCAATAGCATCATTATCATGTTTTTCCACTCTAGTAACATATTGTAACCATGATGCTGGGGAGAAACCGTTGGCTATGAATTTATATTATTGTTTAATTGTACAAAATCCTTACGCAAGCGCACAAAAGATAGCTGTGGCATTTTCAGATGATGAAACAGTATTTGGAGATGGCGGTTTTACAAGTCCAGATAGCAATGGTGAAACTGGAGCAACTGGAACACTTTGAAACATTTTCTCTTCATTTAAAAAAGAAATCATTCACTTATATATTAATATTAGTTATATTTCATGTATATTTTATTTGTCTAAAGTTATGTAAAATAAATAAAGCCTTTGCGCAGTACTAATTTAAATGTCAAAAAAAATCCAACTTTTTTCTATGCTGTTACAAAATAAAATTACGTTACAATAAAAGTTTATCGGAGTTCATTTCTAGTATTTCACGAGCCAATACATTGGTTATATGGTTATAACAGTAAGCTCTACAATTTCCTATCTTCTAAAAAAATTTAAACTGCATTTCTAGCTTTTATATTAGAGGTGAAAAGGTTAGGCGAAAAGAATTATGAGGACTTGGAAAATAAAGTGCTTTTTTTATTATTTTGCAAAGGGAAACAAAACCTAACCTTGTCATAACATGATTAGTAGAATTACTGGGCTGCTAACTATCGATTTTTAGACGTTCTAACTTTGACATTGGAAGAAATTGAAAATGCAACTTCTTTTATCAATAAAAAAGACACTGCTAATTCACAATATGTTAAGTCTTATTGAAATCTTATTGAGAAGGATTGTTCAAGAAAAGAGAATTAATAAGTAATAACATTTCAAACTTTAAATTTGTAAAATACCCGGGTATAATACTAGGAAATTTATAATATGTATAATATCTGGATACAACGCTAGCATTCCCTAAGGTTTCTAATGTATTGTAAAATGGAGTCTTGTTTGAATTATTAAAGCCTGGTAATTTCTAACTTTTGGCAGGTCCGGACTTGTTCAAGTTTACAGTGAGAGATGTACAAACAAGCATCCAGATAGCTTTCTGTATAATTAAATCATAAAATCAAAAAATTTGAGTAATTATAAAAAAGCTATTTAATTTATTTATTAGAAACATATTAGAAATCAAAAGAAAGTATATATTAATTTTATATCAAATACTTATAAAATGTAATATATAGTATTTCATGTAAAATAAATAATTAATTTAATTTTAGCTAAAAAATGAAAACAAAAAATATAATATTACAAGTTTATTATAATATTTTGTTTTAATTGTTGTGATATTATATATATATGAAGTTGAAATGAATTATTTCAGATATCTGAAATGGTCAAAATAGTCAGAATAATTTTTTTAACGACATAAATCATGTCATAACTCTATTAGATATAATTGTAAAACAAAAAATTATAATAGAAAGTACAAAAATTGCCTTGTAATTACATTAAAAGTCCATTTATAATGATCTTTGACATAGTGAGCTTCTGCGAAAGTCACAAGATAAACATTTATTGAGTCATAAACCATCAATAACTCAATCTTTCAAAGAGCTAAAAAAAAATAATAATATATATAATATAAAGAAATAAAAGAAAAAGAAAAAAGAAAATAAAAGGAAATATACAAATAAGAAGAAACTACTTAATTATGATAATGAAATTGAATATTATTAGCCATTTCAGTTAAAAAGAATTATGCAGATGCTCTTTGATATCCTGCCAAATGACCACGCTAGAAAAAAATACAAACAAGATTAATACAGGCCTCCTCTCTATCAAAAGGCTCATATTTTCTGTGACTATAAAGAATACACAGTATCCTTTTACCAGTTGATGAGATGAGACTTGAAAGGAAATTCAAACTAACTTATCTATTTTAGTGAAACTTTAAAACTAAAGAAACGTTTCTAATAGTAGATAGTCTAATATGTCATTAACTCATCAATCACAACATATATACTGGTTAGAAAAACTAATACAGTGAGTACTTCTAATAAAGAAAAAGAAAAATTCTCAGTGATACGATTAGACAATAACAATTTTTCCACATCTTCCAAGCTTTGCAGATTTAATTATCACAATAAATGAAACTCTGAGTTAATGATGTATATTAAATCGACGCTTGGATCATAATTTCTATAGAAGGTTCTAATAAATATGAACTGTGTAACTGCTGCTGCTCTTTAATCAACAAAAAGTAAATAGTAAATAAAAAATTGGAAAGCAAAATATCATTTTTTGTACTATTAAAACAAATGTCAATTAGAAAATTTCAGATACCTTTTAACGTCCACTTTACCTTAGTAGACATATCAAAAAAATGAAAAAAAGTGAAAAATAAAAGATATCAAAAAGATAAAAAGTAAAAAATTTGAAAAATACTTTTATATAGACTAATAACAATACTTTCATGTATTAACATAAAGAGGAGATATTAAAAGGGAAAATATATTTAATTAATAAGGTAACCAAAGTTATTCGCAGACTAATCTGCAGGCATCCTTAAATAGGAATGTTTTCAACAAAAATTCTTGAATACAATCAACAGAAAAGAGATCTTTTTGGTTGAAATCATTTCGACTATTGGAGGTTAAAGTTACGAAATAGTCGAAATAACATCATATCATATGATTTTTCGTATTGAAAAAAAACAAAAAAACAAAAAATGTATGATCTCAGTCAATACTAATTTGATTCATATAAAATAACTAGCATTCAATTCTTCGCAACTAGACAGATCTAATAAGCTAACATTTATTGATTTTAGATCATCCAATCGTGAGATAATCACAATTGTATTATTGGCTGAAATTATAAATCAATAAATTCTACTTTAAATAAAGAGATCTAGATTTTAAAATTTAATCGCAAATATTTTAAGATGAGCTAATATGAAATCAATAAATGTTAGCTTATTAGATTCGTCTAGTTGCAAGAATTCAAATGGTAATAGATTTATACAAATCAGAGCAGTATTGATTGAGATTATATATTTTTATTTTTTAGAATTTTTTCTATATGAAAAATCATGTGATATGACGTCATTTCGACCATTTCAACTTTTTATTTCGATTTTAATTTTCAAAGTCAAAATATTTTGACTTTTGGGTTTTTATTTTGACTTTATGTATAATCTTATATATCTCAATTAAAATTTCTTTTAATCTTTAAATTTAGGATGTAATCTAATTTAAATTCTTAATTAATATCAACTTTGAAATCACAATATAATGCAGTTATTAATTTATATGATGTAAGTTAAAAAGATCTCTTACAGCTATTTATATAATTCTTAAATCACTAATAAGTTGAGATTGAATGTGACTGAATGTGATTGAAATATTTTATAATAAGATTACTATAAAATATTATGACTAAATGATTAAATATTATTAAAAAATTATTAATAATTCAGAAATTATAAAATTAGTTATAAATATTTAAAATAAAGATGATTCTATTAGAAATAATTTTTCTAAATTTTATTAGTTTATATAATAATTTATTATAAGATTGAAACTTGAAATTTGATTTACTTAAATTCTTGTTACTAAATATCAAAAAATAAAATTTTTATTATATAGTATAATTATTTTCTTTTTAATGGATTAAGATTATTTTTTTTCCTATAAGATTAAAAATTTTTTTCAAAAAATTTTAAAGTAATAAAGAATATTTCATATTAGAGTAATATCAATTTGATATCATAAGCTTAAGAGTTATTTTTTGATTAATTTATTATATATTAAGATTATATTTAATCAAGTATTATTAAAATTTTATAAATAAATTAATAAAATAAAAATTGTGATTATATTTGTTTAGTAATTATTTTACTAAAAAAATAATACAAAATTTAAAAAATGCAATATAAAATATAATTACAAAGTTAATTACAGGTAAAATAATTAATTACAAGTAAAATTAATTACATAGATGGTAATTATTTATAGAAGTAATAATTAATTATGAAGTTATACTGTAAATGTTGATTAAGATATTCCAGATACAATACAAATTCTCAAATTTTTAGGGATATAATACTATAGGTAGTACTTTAATTAAGGGAGGGATACAAGCATATTTGCTAAAGATGGTTCTTATAATTATTTTTAAAATTTTTAACTAGTTGCAACTTACTGTAAGTTGCAACACTTTGAGTTGTAACATTTTATGAATTTTTATATTAAAATAAATTTACAAGGAGTTGCAATTTACCGAGTTGCAACTTCTTAATTATGGTATCCATCTTTAATATTTGTTAAAACAATAAAGATATGACAAATTTTTATGCATCAAAATTTGTCAAAAATAATTTTTTAACACTATTTGATATTTTATCATTTAAAATTTAAATTTTTTTTTATTTAAATTTTATTTTTCCTTTATTTAATAAATCTAAATCATTTAAAATAGCTGAAACTAATAGTTTTTTATAACTAATCTAAAAAATAATCCAATAAATAATTTAAAAAAAATAATAATGTTTATTGATGAATTCTAGTAGAATGAATTTAATGCTACTTTTTGAAGAAGATATAATAGGAAAGTTTTAATCATGAATTTTAAGCTTGAAATTAAGTTTAGGTCAAATAATATATAATAAATTAATTTTGCAATTTTTTAACATGTTTTTTTTAGAAAAAATGAAATGATATATAAGAGAAAAGTTATTTATTTTCTATTATGCTGAATAATATAAAGTAATAAGTTAACAGCTAAAAAATTTGAAGTTGAATTTAAACTAAAATTGCTTGTCTAAACTCATTTTGGATTTGGCTAAACGTCTAAACCTTTAGTTTCGCTAAATTTTTACTAAGTGTTTGATATAGTT